TCTTGAAATGGCAGCAAGAATATGAAGCCTTTTCGTTTTAGCAGTAACAGCTGATAACAACTTCCTGAGCGCTCACTGTGCTGGGTGCCACACTAAGCATCTTAAACACTCATTTCATCCACCCAACCAACCCGATAAAGTAGGTCACTGCTGCCATCTCTTTTATTTGCAATGCGGATACTCCACTTGGGAAGACAGTCCCTGCCCAAGGTCCGCAGCTAGTATCAAAAGTCAGTCCTGCACTATACCACACCCACAGTCCTTTCAATCTAGGCACAGGTAGGACAGAGCAATTACCTAAGTGATTTCACCTAAGCCAGCCAGTCTAAAAATTCTGAATCTTATTTGTTTTTTTTTATTTTTTAAAAAAATGTTATTTAGGGGCGCCTGGGTGGCTCAGTGGGTTAAGCCGCTGCCTTCGGCTCGGGTCATGATCTCGGAGTCCTGGGATCGAGCCCCGCATCGGGCTCTCTGCTCAGCAGGGAGCCTGCATCCTCCTCTCTCTCTGCCTGCCTCTCTGCCTGCTTGTGATCTCTCTGTCAAATAAATAAAATCTTTAAAAAAAAAATTTTATTTATTTATTTGACAGAGAGAGACACAGAGAGAGAGGGTACACAAGCAGGGGGAGTGGGAGAGGGAGAAGCAGGCCTCCCACCCAGCAGGAAGCCCGATTCGGGGCTCATCCCAGGACCCTGGGATCATGACCTGAGCCAAAGGCAGACACTTAACGACTGAGCCACCCAGGCACCTCCTGAATCTCTCTCAAGAGGGCTAGCCTGTATAGATGCCCCCTCTGTGCCAAGTACTACCTTCACCTGCCATTCCACTGGGCCTCACAACACCCACATAGTTACTACCCTCACTTGACAGTGGAGGAACCAAGCACAGAGGGTTTAAGTAACTGAAAGGTCATCGCACAACTCTCAGCTATGCTCTTTCCATAAAACCTTTTTTTTTTTTTTAAGACTTTGTTTATTTGAGAGGGAGAGTGCACCCAAGTGGAGGGGAGGGGCAGAGAGAGAGGGAGAAGCAGGCTTCCCGCTGAGTGGGGGACCCTGGGATCACAACCTGAGCTGTAGGCAGACGCTTAACTGAGACACCCAAGAGCCCCTCCACAAAATCGTAATGCCTCCTTTAAAAACACTGAATTTCAGAAAACAATCTCAGGCATAGTAATTTTTTACTCAAGAGTGAAAATAGTAAGTCGATGGAAGAGAAGACTCAAATGTAAAAGTTGCAGCCTTTCGACACAATGACTGCACAACGTGAACAGAAACTCTAGTAGCAGATACTCCAAGAGTTTAAATCTTAACTTCCAAAAACCAGTCCCACCAGCGCTCGGCGTGTTGAGGAAACAGTCCCTGGGTTTAAAGCAAGGTCAGTACTTTTCAATGAGCCATTATGATTCACGCAGGAGCTTTGCAACCCCACACAAATCACACCAGAACACGCCTTAGGGAAACAGCTTCTCCCAAACCAGACTCTTTCCACAAAACAATCTGTTTTTCAGCCCCTTAGCGTTTCTTCATGTGGCATGTTCCCTTGCCAAAGGAACACAGATCCTGGTTTTGAACCTTAGTTAGGTGGAATTATTAGTTAACGCCAACCAATCAACATTTCCTCAGAAGGCACACAGCGTGACCCAAGGAGGTGCGGTTTAGCTGCCTAATCCCCTAAGCGACAGTTCCTTTTAAGGGAGTGCCCTGTAAGTCCAACAGGGTTAATGTGGACGGAGAGAGAAAGGCACATTCCACTGCCATGTAAAAATAACTTTAAATAAAAATAAAATGTGTGCATATGAAACGTCAGCCCACAGGAAAGGAAAGAGCAAAGATCACTGGGGATGGTATTACATTTAGGGAACTGCATAATGGACAGGAGGAACAGGAAAAGATAAACACAGGGACACTGGAAAGGAGACCATCTATAGCTCCGACATGATTTTAATGTCTTGAGCTGTGCTAAAGTGCACACACCCCAATTAAAACAATGTAAGGGAAGTATAATGCCCAGCTGTGCTCAGACCTAACAGTGAATGCCTTCGAAACCCAGCCACGCTTGCCAGTCGCCACAAAATATCCCCTCAGGCTTGAAGAAGTCTTACTCTACAATTTAAAACACTTCCTTCTGCCAATTAAAAAAAAAAAAAAGCCTTTGGTACAGATTAAGAGATTCTACGCTTGAAAAAGGCCTGTTCCATTCACGGTCTCTTCCTAGACCTACTGGGATACATAACCATTTTGATGACAGAAAGGTAAGACGTTTCTTAAGCTACTGGCAAATAAAAATTTACTTAACATTCTTGAACTAAGACCCTTATTAACTTGTCAGGATGATCTTCTATATTAATGGCTGTCAGCACCTTTCTAAAACAATGAATTAGCTGATTTTAAGTGACTACAATTACTCTTTATTGAGCACTAACTACATGCTGTGTTAACGTGCACTATCTCCCATAATCCCCACGTCAACTCTATTAGCCCTCTCCCAACAGATGCTCAGGGTGGATTAATTTGCCTGAAATCACACAGCTGGGAAGTGGCCATGTCCAGCCTAGAATATTTGATTCCAAAGTCTGTAAATTCCCTTTGGTCAGGAGAGGACAGTTCAGAGTATTTTCTTCTGTGTCTCACAACCACCCCGAAAAAAAAGCCAATAAGCCAATGCATAACACTAATTCCTGAGTCAAAATACCATGGCCAAAATTTTAGTTATTCATGTTATACCTGTTCCTTACAGAAACATGCCACATGTGACCATAGGAACAGGATTTGCTAAGTGTGACTGTAGCTAGCTGAGCTGCTTGGCTGACGTTTGGTCTTCTGGATCAGTTTCCTTGTTTTTAAAAGCACTACACCCTGAAGAAAAACTGCTGCTGCGTAAGTTAACTTGAATTATGTGATTATGAGGTCTGATCAAGTGCAGTTATTTATATAGGATATTCTGGTAGGATGGTTACCTCTACTTAAAAAAAAAAAAAAGCCCATCAAAAATGTTCTGCTGGATTAATTTGCCTTTCCCTTTACATAATAATCTCCAGTTTCTTGAGTAGAGGAAACAAGTGATGCTCTCCCTAACGGCCTCGGAGTCAGGAGAATTACTCGACTCTCTCCACAATCTTCCCTCCGCTACAAGGCCGTTTACTTCTATTACAGTAGAATATAATAAATCTAACTACACCAATATAAATACAGTATTCTGTCCTTACTGAAACAGAAGAGTCCCACAGCAAAATAACTTGTAGGTGGTATTACACATTACAAAAACATACCTGTCGTTTTATTATTAAACTAGAAAGATGCCTGCTGACATACAACAAAAGGTCTCCCAGCAACTGAAAAGCAGAGAAACTAGGCAAAGACTTTACTTCTTTAGAGACATGAAACTCTTTCAGTCAAGAAAGATGGATTTTGTCACTTATTATTCTCTAAAATGGAAAGTGCCACATGGAGACCATAAATGAGGGAAACTGCATCTCAGAGCAATGTTCTATGTGCCAAGTTACAAAGCCCGTGAATACAAGGGGTGTATTAATGGAGAGACTGATACCATCTTACTACAGTGGCCTCTCTGTAGCTCAGGACAATAATCTGTTGAGGGTTTTCCAGTGATTTTGCATGTGCAACCTCCATACAAGCCCCCTTTTAAGGAAGCTGGCTCAGTGCTGAACAATCCCTCTTCGGAAAGAAAGCCAAAAGCCCCCACTCAGGCTTCTGGGTGAGAGGCTCAGCCCTGTAGGCGTGGGAAGGCTCAGACTCTGTAGACAAAGAAGGAGGAGTGGTAAATGGGCTGGGGAGAACTGGGATCAGCCTGTGTCCACCTGCCTGGACGAGCCCCAGACCCACAGGATGGGACATTCAGAGAAAGAGTCCAAAAAGGCTGGGAAAAGGAGACACACACATTGCAAATCCAAGCGTGAAGCCAGTTGCCCTGGAGAGCAGACCACGCCACAAGAGATGCAGTGAGATAACCAGAAACAGGGTGGCATATGCCTTTCGGAGGCTGGGAAGGACCTCCACTACTGAAGAGGCAGGGATTGGCTGTCAGCCCCCCAACCCCTGGTTTATCTTCTCCCAAAAAAATAGCTCCAGGAACTCTCACGGGCCCCAGCAGGGTAAGACACTGGGGCAAAGCCACCACACTAGATTCCCATATTCCCTTCTTTCACAGGAAGGGGCAACTTTATGGAGAAAGGGATTCCTGCTCCCACCCACAAGACCAAGGAGAACCACCTAGGACGGCTCTGCTAGGGCCACTTCCAAATGAAGGCGGACCCCATACGAACCCTCCAACACTCGGGAACTCTTAGATACCCGGACCCCTCAAATCTTAACCTGGCTAAGACCATGGCCTCGTGCCTCCCACAACCTCAGAGACCCTACCCAATCCTAAAGTCCATCTCAGAACTACTGTCCAGACTCGGCTACAGAGCCTCAGCCCCCCCAAACCCATCCTGGAAATGGCAAGCCGGCTAGTCCGCTCACCCCCTGAAAACCTATTCGCAGACCCCAGTTCCTGCTGCAGTCCGCCTGTACCTCTCAACCCTCTCGTCAAGCCCCCGAGCCCCTCCCCAGACCTAGTCCTCGGCCCCCTCCCTCCAGTCTCAGTCACCCCTTAGTCCTCCACGACAGTCCCCTCTCCCTTCTATAACCCAGTCTCATCCCCCTAATTCCCTCCTCATCCCACCAGACTCAGCCACGGCCCCCTGAGTGCCCAAATGCCCGTTCCCGACTCTCCCAGCCTCGGCGCCTCAAAGCCTCGCCCCGAGCCCGGTCAGCCCTCGAGCCCCGTCTCAGGGCGCTTTGCCCCGCTCGGCCCCAGCTCCGTCCCCCCAACCCCGACCCCGTCTCCAGCCCTCCCATTCCTCGTCGCAGACCCTTCGACCCAACTTGAGGCACCGCGATCGCCCCCGCCTCGGGCCACCTCCAGCCCGCCGCGGGCCCCCGACCCCGCACGCCCCTCCTTGAGGCGCCGCCGCCGCGCGCCCCTGCCCAGCTCACCTCCTCCATCTTCTGCACCATCTCCGTCAGCTGTCCCTCGTCCTCCAGCAGCTCGTTGAGCTGCATCAGCGACAGCCCGGCAAACCGGGCTTCGCTCCCAGCGCCCGCCATCCCCGCGTCTCAGCCGCCGCTGCAGCTCCGGCCGCCAGGCTCCGCCGACCGGAAGCGCCGCCCTCAAGGCCCGCCCCCGGCGGGGGGGCACGTGACGCCAGCTCAGGAGCATGACGTCATCACCGCGCGGGCGGGCGGACGTGACGTAGAAGGCGGGGCCCGGGGCGAGACGCAAAGCTGGGCTGAGCCCTGAAAGGTTGGGGGTTTCTAGAGGGTGAGAAAGGAGCTGTGGATGGATTTGTGGCTCAGCGAGAAGCAGTAGTGATGTCACGGCGGCGCAGTAGAAGGCGTAGTGATGACATAGAGCCTTTTTCATCAAGGAAAAGAACCGTCTAGATCCAAAGAAAGCAGGCAACGGGAAAGAAGTTACTGCAGCCTAAGCCTAGCCTGCCTTGGGGAATCCCAAAAGGGCATTTTTATGGGGAAGCAACTTTAGATGCCTTTGGTTCCTCAGAACTGTGGAGCTGCCACGTCATTTCTTGAGCAAAGATTGAGACCTTTTACGTGGATTAAGCTTTGGACATACAGTTCTGAACAAAACAAGAAACACCCCTGCCCAGTGGAGCCAACAGCCTGACAGGGGAAGCAAACAAGAAACAAGTCAAAGGGCTACCAACTGGGAGAGTGGGAAGAAGGACATGGATGCTGAAGTAAGAAAATAGAAAAGACCCTTAGAGATAGTAAAATATGGCGCACTCAAAAGGGGAGAGCCAAGGAGATCTAAAGGATGAGAAAGGAGGAACCAGCCACCATTCCTGTAGGAGGTCCAATGCGGCAAGAGAAGCATGTGCAAAGGCCCTGTCGGGACTAGCTTAGTACACACAAGGAAGGAATCCTCAGAAAAGCAGTAGGACCAGAGCATCATGAGCAGAAATCTGTTCATGTGACCCCTTTGCACCAAGTCGGAGGAAGACACCTAGGCAACCAGATGGGCTAAGCTGTGCTCTTTCAGAAACAACACAATTTAGGGTACAATTGTTCAGTCTCCCTAGCCATCTAGAAGTCTCTTGAGATCCAGGAGCCCATGAACTCATTATCCTTCTTTAATCTCTGTGACCGTTCTAGTTGGAAGAAACCTAAAGGCTGAGGTTAACCACTACAGCCTCCTAATTTTACACATTAAGAAACTGAAGCCTTGGGAGTAGAACATTTTTGGGTTTTCCCAAAATCCAGTGATTGGCAGGCCTCCTGGCTCCCAGTCTGGCATTACACCCCATTGACCTCACGCATAACTCAGTACTGAACACAGTTGAGGCATTCAGTAAATGCTTATTGGCTGACTGATGAGCTTTGTGTATGAAGATGATGCTTCTGCTCTAACATCTGTAGAACATAAGGTCTGAGTTGTCCGCCCATACATTAGGCTGGGCTCCACTGACCCCATTCTCACAGTCTCTCCAGCCCCTAGTGACACAGGGCACACCCTTTTAGAAAAGTTAGAAGTATTTCATATTATCTGTAAGCAAAAGGTTTTACTGAGTTCAAGAGGAGCACTCGATAGTTTTCTTCTTTTGAGCTTGTTATACTTGGTTCCAAAATGTGGCCTTGAGGAGGGAAGTCCACAGTAAAGAGGAAGGGAATGTTAAAAGTCAAGTTAGGGTCAGGGTACTAGCTCAGTGTTTTTTCTTTTCTCTCCAGGAAAAAAGAGTAGACCTGTCAAGTTGGCAATAACTGTTGTATTTCCAGGAAAGTCTCACCCATGAGGGTTAAGAGGTTACCCAGAAATTTCTCACAATCCTCACAGAAGGAGAGAATAAGGTTAAGCAACAGAGGCCTCCAGAATATAGAGGGATGAAGGGATTCCGTCAAGAACACACACCAAGGGGCGCCTGGGTGGCTCAGTTGTTAACCGTCTGCCTTCAGCTTGTGTGGTGATCCCAGGGTCCTGGGATCGAGCCTGCATGGGGCTCCCTGCTCAGCAGGAAGCCTGCTTCTCCCTCTCCCACTGACCCATGCTTGTGTTGTCCCTTTCGCTGTGTCTCTGTCAAATAAATAAAATCTTTAAAGAAAAAAATACAGAGAACACACCGACTTTTGAATGTCATTTTTATACAGTGACCACTGTATCGAGATTAGAATGCTCAGCTGAAACATTCACATCTCAGTCCTGTTTTTTGTTTCTTGAAGGTTTAGAGAGAGCATGCACCTGTGGGTGGGGGTGGGGGGAGGGCCAAAGGGAGAGGGAGAGTGAATCTTAAGCAGGCTCCTTGCCCGGCCTGGAACCTGACATGGGGCTCGGTCTCACGACCCTGAGAACATGACCTGACCCAAATCAGGAGTCAAACCTTTAACTGACTGAGCCACCCCGGCTCCCCTTCCCTGGTTCTTTTATAACTCTTCTCAAACCGGTTTTCTGCCACAGACCTATTTGAGTCAAAGATGATTTCCTTTGCCAAAGAGGGCAAACCATACAAACATCTGGTTTCCTGCTGCTCTAAAAACTTCTTGTCACTTTTAAAAATGGCTGAAAGGAGAAGAGGAACATCAGAAAATCCTTACATCACTGTCAAACCGGTCCATTTAATGTGTGGGTGGACTTGCCCATTTTCCTCCTTTTGGCGGACTGATATTTGGGTTTCTCTACACACCTACGACTGCCTACAGTATCCGTGGGTTAACTACGATTTTGTTCTAGCAAACCAAGAGCAGTGTATGCGTGTGCCAGCGCCACTCTCTCAATGGGAGCATTGTTACTGCCGGAGAAATGATCTCCTGTTTCACAACATCAGGAGTCATCTGGAAAGCGAGTTAAAGTAACCTTCACATAGCTGGACCTTAGAATCGTCTAGCCTTGAGATGAGAAGGTTTTCTCTTCAAGAGAGGTTAGTAGACTTCTACATATTTTCAGTTGGAAGAGCTGGAGAAAGACGCGCTGACCTGATGAGGGCACACATAGCATATTCTGGGCAGCTGTGTGTGAGCAGGGCAGGGATTACCCCCCAAGGCAACAGGTGACGGCTGTCACCCTCCTCAGGATGAGTGGCATGACATCACCGTGATCTACTAAGTGCCCAACGTGACCTCAGCACCAGTCAACGAGGAAAAAAAAAAAAAAAATCACCCCAGACACAGCCCCTGCTTTGGTGAGAGATCTAAAGATAAAAGCAGTATTTTTAAAGTTATTTTTAAAGGTTGATATTTTTGTGTGTTATAAAGGTGGAAGGTGAAAAGAGGTTGGTTATTTTGATGGGAGGTTTGGCTCTTCTGGTTTTTTATTTTCCTTCCCCCCTCTTATTTTTTGCTCCCATGTGGAGTTTAATAAACTATTTCGGGCACGCACTAAGAGAGAAAAGGGGAGAGAGTGAGGGAGAACGAAAATAAAATGAACATTCATAATGACCAGGTTAAGAGACCTCACAGACACAACTGAAACCCCTGTGTATCTTTTCTCCTCGATCCTATTTCTTTATTTGCTTTGCCAGAGGGTAAGTACTAGCCTATTATTTCACCTTGTATGTATCGATCCATGAACTTCATAAAAAAATTTACATATGTACAGGTACCTTTCTGCTACTATTTTTTTTTAAAGATTATTTATCGGACAGAGACAGATCACAAGTAGGCAGAGAGGCAGCCGGGGGTGGGGGGAGGGGAGCAGGCTCCCCGCTGAGCAGAGAGCCCGACGCGGGGCTCGATCCCAGGACACTGAGATCACGACCTGAGCTGAAGGCAGAGGCTTAACCCACTGAGCCACCCAGGCACCTGCTACTATTTTAAAGTCAACATTAAATTGGAGATGGATCCTTGCTAGTTTATCTAGCTTGAAACTTTTTTTTTCCACTGCATATGGCATCCCATTATGTACATTTATGACAGTTTATGAAATCCTTTTCTCTGCTGTTGAGGGGGTGTGGTCATAAAGTATTCACATCTTCACTTTTAACTGGATATTGCCAGATTGTTCTCCAAAGAGGTTGTTCCAAAAGTTTTTGGGTGTGTGTGATAAAATACATGTAATATAAAATGTATCATTCTAACCATATTTGAGTACAGAGTTAAGTACACTCACATGGTGAAACTATCACCACCATCCAGCCCCAGAACTGAAAACTCTGAACTCCTTAAGCACTTCCTGTCTCCCACTAGCCCCTGGTGGCCACTGTCCTCCTTCCTAGCTCTAGGAGCTCGACGACACTAGGTGCCTCACATATGTTCAGTCCTACAGTATCGGTCCTTTTGTGACTGGTTTATTTCACTCAACTGAAGGTCTTCAAGGTTCACCCATGTCCTAGCAGGTCTCAATGTTATTCCTTTTAGAAGCAGAGTCTTCCGTTGTACGCACATACCATTCTGTTTATCCACTCATCTGTTGACCGCCTGGGTTCTTCCCACCGTTGGCTGTTGTAAGCAATGCAGCCAGGAACACTGGTGTACGTGAGAGTGGCTGTTGGAGTCCTTGCTTTCAATGCTTTTGGGTATATATTCAGAAGTGAAATTGCGGGCTTATGTAGGATTTCTTAACTTTTTGAGGAACCGCCAGGCTGTCTTTGGTGATTACACTATTTTACATTTCCAGCAGCCACGCAAAATGATTCCTTTTTCTTCATATCCACACCAAACTTGTTTTTTTTGGGGGGGGGTCGGTGGAAATAGGTGGGTAATAGCCATCCTGGGTTGGGTTTTGTTGCCATTGCTGTTAACGAGGGTTTCTTCTGTCAAAAGGATGAGCATCGCTTCATTTCGTACTCCATACAGGTCAGTGGCAAGAGGTACGAAAGGTTCCAGAAACCAGTACTGATTATCTATAAGAACTTACCTTTCTTTATTCCTACAACCCAGGAAGATAGAGTTTGGGATGTGCAGAAAATAGACTGTTTCTATATATAAACGAGTGACTAATTGTTCCTGCAACAAAGATCTTCTTAGATTAAGACCCAGAAGAAGGAATGGGAAGCAGATGGCTAGAACATCAGAGGGCACCTGGGACAGCCACCCTCTGAGTAGCCCTTTCTTAGATCACACCAGGGTTGGTCTGCCTCATCCACAGACAATGCACTTCTAAGGGGAGGTTTCCACGGTTCCCTCTCCTTCTCACGTGACCAGCTCTGGGGGGAATATGGCGGTCCTATC